TGCCCCTGCACAGCTGCCTATCTGAGATCTTTTTCTACCTGTCTATGCTTACAAGTATATTTTTTCTACACATTGATGGACCAACAGCAACTTTTCACAACCAAATGGGAATTTTCATCGTCAATGGGACTTTTTTTTATAATATGAGTTGATTGTGTTAGACATTGACCTGGTTGTAACTGTAAAAACTCAAGTCAGAACTCTGCATTTTGGGCTTACTCTCCCAATCAGACATTTTTTTGTCCTTACATTCCCTTTCCCTCTCCTTCACCTCTCAGTTTTCCAGATTTATGCACATTTAGTTGTGACTTTCTGAACAGGACTCAATATTTGGATTATCCATACGATATTACTGATAACACAACTGACACAGAACCAATCAAATGATATCTTTTTAGATCATCAGTTAACTCAGTTTCACGGCTCCTTCGTGCTTGAAATGGTATATTTTCTTTTCCGGTTTTCCTGGTGTCATCGGTGAACACAAATCAAAACAATTCCTTCTGCTTCCAGCGAAAGACACACAGCTTTGCCGTTTTTCGCAATTCGGGACAATATTCAGCGGCAAAGACCCTGTTGCTATAGAAACATGACATAAGAAACGGAGATGGCTACAGAAACTAAAAGTAGGACAAGCTGAAATAGTGAATAAAATGGAACGATTAGGAGATTTCTCTCTTAGTCGCCATATTCTGTCGTATTAAACATCAGTTTTTTTATTATTTCAACATCTACGGGAAAAAAAAACAAGAACATACATTCGTTCATATACTTTTTACAAAAACAATGCGCAGTCTAATTCTAATTTGCTCCTAAATGTCACTCTTTAGGTTTCCTCTTCACTTTTAAAATAATGTGATTTATATTATATACAGTCCAAATAAATTAGCATGTCAGAAATCCCAGAAAGCATTTCCAAGAATCAAAAAGGTTACATTTACATCTAACCTGAGGATTCACTTTAGGCTCTCAATTAAAGTTCTAAAGTATTGACAACTAACATCACAGAGTTATCTACAGTACACGGACACAGCTAAATGAAAAGAAAAACAGTGTTATGACTGGATTCATAATAACTGTGAAACAATAGAGAAATTGCAGTGGATAAAATAATTGTTTTCCTTCTTCATTCTTTCTCAAGCTTCAATGCAATTGGAATGTTCTCCAACCATCACCCACTATCCACAGCCCATCCTCTTCTCCATATCTCTTGGCTCTCTTACCAGGAGAAAGGCCAGCATTCATTAAAAAATGTAGCACAGAAACCGATTAGACTAGTTTGTTTATTAAATTGCTTAAATGTAACAAATTTTACCTTTGGGGGTTAATTTGACCCAATAAACTGATTTATAGAAAAACGCTGACCAGGTGTTTGAGTCTGGATTTTTTTTTTTTTTTTGGGACGACATTAGTAACTAATTACCTGATAATGAAGCCTTGACCTGTACTCTAGCACCACCATCAGGCCAAAATTTCAAATCAGAATTAATTAACCTGAATTCGGCAAATCTTCTAAAATGTACTGACAGCATTATTGACTAAAAGAATGTGAAGCCTGTTGGTTTTGGTGATGATCTGACCTTTGACCTGCAGCGCCACCATCAGGTCAAAATATCAGTTTGACCCCCCAGTGTCAGCTTTTCAAAGGCTGGCTGTTGCTTCACCTTATTTATTGGAAACTTATATTAGAGTAAACAAATGAGCAAGCAAGTTTAGGTCTCCAGGCCAAGCACATCCCCTCTGAATTTGTCATTCCAGGAACAATATTTTCGATCTATTGTGGTATAAAGACCTCAAAAAATGACCTGATGTCTTCAGCATGGCTGGCTTCATGTCTGGTGGCGCCTTGAACCTTTTTGATTGTGTAAGTGTTGTTAATTATAGCCTGCTATTTAAGGAAAGGGACCATATTGCCATTGCCATAGATTGCTTAGAATAAGAGAAAAAAATCTTAACAAGTAAAATAA